CCTGCCTCAGCCTCCCAAGTAGCTGGGACCACAGGCGCCCGCCACAACACCCGGCTATTTTTTGGTTGCAGCCATCATTGTTGTTTGGTGGGCCCAGGCTGGATTCAAACCTGCCACGTTGGGTGTACGTGGCTGGCGCCTTAGCCACTTCAGCCACAGGCGCCGAGCAGCTTAAGTGATTCTTTTGCCTCAGTCTCCCAAGTAGCTGGGACTAAAGGCGCTCACCACAACACCTGGCTATTTTTTAGAGACAAGATCTTGCTCTAGCTCAGGCTGGTCTTGAACCATGAGCTCAAGCAAACCATCTTCTGTGGCTTCCCAGAGTGCTAGGATTAACAGGCATGAGCCACCTCGCCCAGCCCTCTGTCTCAAATTAAGAAAAAAAAAATCAACTTGGTGCCTGTAGCTCAGTAACAAGGGTGCCAGCCACATGTACAAGGAGCTGGTGGGTTCAAACCCAGCTCTGTTCTGCCAAAAAATAACAACTACAACCAAAAAATAGCCAGGCGTTCTGGTGGGCACCTTAAGTCCCAACTACTTGGGAGGATAAGGCAAAAGAATCACTTAAGCCCAAGAGTTTGAGGTTGCTGTGAGCTGTGACGCCAGGGTGACATAGTGAGACTGTGTCTCAAAAAAAAAAAAAAATTACTTCTAGATACATGTATACTTAGGAGCAATGTGTTTGTTCTGTGACATACAGGAGGTGCCAGGTGATTACTCCATCTATCACTTGCTTTTTCCATTAACAGCAAGTTCTAGATATCTCTCAGAGCCACACTTCCCAGAGACTGCATAGGCAGGTCTCAGCATTGATGGTCCATTCATCGTTTGTTAAAGCCACTGTGTACAGACATTCAGGTTATTTCAATTTCTTCTCTGAGAAACATCTTTTGTGCTCATCTGTATAAATTTCTCTGGATTTGATTGCAGCATGCAGAATTGCTGAGTCAATTAATAAATCCTCAGTGATGAATTAACATTCTAATTTCCTCTCATTGATCATCAAAATCAAAATCTTCAGCAATTCTTTTGTGCAGCAAAACGTTCTTGCCCATCAGTAGAAGATTGCTAAGCAAGGCCTAGAAGTTTGGAAAGTAGTGGGGTGTATAGTAAGGAGAAGGAAAGTCTAGTAGCTAATTAATTTGTCATGTCTCTCTCTTTTGAAGCTGGTCTCACCAATCAGTCTTCCTGGTTTCCTGATGGTGGGAGCAGTAGGCTGATTTACTTCTCTAAATTTCTGTGAGAAAACAGAACCTGCTAGTACCCAATGAATTAACTGTGTGTGTGTGGGGGGAGGGACCATAGTAGCACCCTCCCTTAGGGGAGCAGTATTTTACTCTTGCTAATATCATGTGGCCTTGGGACCCTCTGAGCCTCAGTTACCCCACCTGTGGCATGTCTATGGCTCTGGAGTCAGAATACCTGCCGTTTGCAGGAAAGGACTAAATTAACAATTATGTGTCTTTTTTATATTAACGCAGCCATTACAACAACTGCAGTTCTTTGGAGGCTTTTTGAGACTCAGTATCCTCCTTTGTATAAAAAAAAAAACAAACAGTTCCTTTCTTTACGGGTGTGGGAAGGACCACAAAAGATAATAAAGAGAAACTTTTCATACAGTGCCTGGCAGGAAGAATGCAATAAATGGACACGTTTGTGATTGTTAGTATTCAAATAGGTCCCTTAACCATTAGGGCTTAGAAAGAGCATGCGACTCACCTAAATTCACCTAGCAGCAGAGTTGGTATAGGAATTCATGCCTCCTTCCCTAGGCCCGAAGGGAAAGCTGGGGCGGGATGGCGGTGAAGAAACTCCCAAGTGGTCCAAGCTGTGGGCCTGGGAGGGGGGAGACTTGCAGGTGTGGGACACAGAGGTAAGGTGACCCTTACCCAGTTACTATGCCTGCGAGGAGCGCATTCCCAGGCCTCGCGCCCGGGGTCTGCAGGTGATTGGCTAGGGGTGCAAAGGAACGCTCCAGCCGAGTTTGCCGTCTCCATAGCGACCGCCCGCGCGGCGCCAGCTTGACAGCCCGTCCGGGTTTTATGAATGGGTGACGTCACGGGCCTGGCGTCTAACGGTCTGAGCTGCTTGTTCAGCCACTGACACAGACCAGCCCAGGAATGGGGGTGGGTAGACTTTAGCTCCGCAGCTGCTGCGCTGTGGGAGGGAGACCCTGCTCTGAGGTCTTTTGAGGGGGGGAATCCAACCAAAAAAGGGAGAAAAATTAAAAATCACTAGTTGCTTCAGATTCAGGAATTTTTGCAAGGCTGGAAATTCAGGGTAGAATCGGATGCAGCCTTCCTTCACTGCGCTCCTTCTATCTAGTTCAGGTCCCAGTCCCTACCCTTGGAAGACTTTACCAAAGTAACTGTTTCCACCCGAGGGGATTAGAGTAGGCGCTCTGGTACCAAGGACTTTAACACGAACATTCTGCGGGAAGTGATAAAGGGAAACTAGCCTCGGGGAGCACAGGGTAATGAAGGGTCCCCTTTAAATTTCCGCCCTGATATTTGGAGACCAGGGTCCTAGACCACGGAATTTTCCAAGAGGATCAGAAAACCCAGACTCTTGTCCTGGGCTTTCTGGGCAAATCAAAGCACGCGGCTTCTCCGTCGGGGCCTCAGTTTCTCTCATCTGTGGAATGGAACTGGAGAGATGAAAAAGTGAGCATGGGAAAACTGATTCCTGAGGTCTTAGCGTTACTGGCAATACCACCTTAGCTTTCTTGCCTCCTTTCTAAAGAGCCCAAGGCAGGCCTTCTTTCAGTCGCCCTGCCCCTTACTCTCCACCCACCCTCTCTGTAACTTGGGTCTCTTTTGCACCAACGCGAGGTTGCGCTAGTTGGGTTGGAGGTGGGGCCCGAGAGAGCGCGAGGGCACGCCCCCATGCTTACTATTGGCTGCTTTTGAACGTTCTGAGCCCGCCCTCGCGGGGGCCGCGGCGTCTTTATAAAAGACCGGCTGTGGCGTTTGGCTGTAACATTTTAAGATCGTCTTTTTTTGCTAGTAGTGACTTTAACTACGTTCAGCTCCCACCTTTTCCAAACCTCACTTCTTTTCCGTTTTAATCCCTAATCAAGATCATGAAGGTCGCCAGTGGCAGCGCCACAGCCGCCGCGGGTCCCAGCTGTGCGCTGAAGGCGGGCAAGACTGCGGGCGGCGCGGGCGAGGTTGTACGCTGTCTGTCCGAGCAGAGCGTGGCCATTTCGCGCTGCGCGGGCGGCGCCGGGGCACGTCTGCCGGCTTTGCTGGACGAGCAGCAGGTGAACGTGTTGCTCTACGACATGAACGGCTGCTACTCGCGCCTCAAGGAGCTGGTGCCCACCTTGCCCCAGAACCGTAAGGTGAGCAAGGTGGAGATTCTCCAGCACGTTATCGACTACATCAGAGACCTACAGTTGGAACTGAACTCGGAATCCGAAGTCGGGACTCCAGCTGGCCGTGGGCTGCCGGTCCGGGCTCCGCTCAGCACCCTCAACGGCGAGATCAGCGCCCTGGCAGCCGAGGTGAGGTCCGAATTGGAGCACTGGATCATTCTACCACTGGGGAAACTGAGGCGGGAGGGGTGTCTTGCACTTTTTCCATTCCTTCCTTTCTGGCACCTGGCTATGCGGGGATGTCCAAACAGACCAGAAATCACCCATCTAGTCTCCTCGGGAAAGGGAATTCTGCTGCGCTTGCAACCTTGATCCCTCCAACCTGCCTGTCTCACCTTTCACTTCGTTTTTCCAGGCCGCATGTGTTCCAGCGGATGATCGCATCTTGTGTCGCTGAAGCGCCTTCCCCAGAGACCGGCGAACCCCAGCTCTTCATGGGGCAAGAGAAATAAGTGTTCTCGGGTCCACCGAGGCTCCTCTCCGGAACTAGGGACAACAAGACAGATTGGGAGCCATTGGGCTCTTCCTGGATCCAGCCCAGGGCTGGTGGACTGAGGAGGAGAGGCCCGACCTTCTTGCCACACTTACCAGTCACCAGAGACTTGAGGGGGGAATCTCCCCCGTGTGTTTCTATTTTTTGAAAAGCAGACATTTTAAAAAATGGTCACGTTTCGTGCTTCTCAGATTTCTGAGGAAATTGTATTGTATATTACAATGATCATCGACTGAGAATATTGTTTTACAATAGTTCTGTGGGGGTGTGTTTTTGTTGTTGTTATTAAACAAATAACTTTAAATGGTAAAGTTGCTGTGACTGATTGGACTAAGAGGAGGGCCCTGAGCTGGGATTTGACCCCTGACCTTCTTCACAGCTGGTGCTGGGAGGAGAACGGGAGGGTCACATCTGGACTGTTGCTTTTACCGGTCTGAATGTTTCCGGTGTCTTTTAACCACCCCACCCCGCCCCCAATCCTTGGCCGTTTCCCTGCTCCCCAGTGTCATAAAATTAAATACTCTAGATCTCTTAGGGTTTCTCAAAGTGGTCATTGGGCCATCTGGATCACCTGGGGAGGTTGTTAAAATGCAGATGAACCTGCCAAGGCATTGAGTTGGAAAGTATTACTGAACGAGCCATTTAACTTTGAGAACCAGGTCACTGGACCACCCACTTAATGCAGATATGGTAGGAAGTGGGATCCAGTGGAAAGGAACTTGCCCAGGGTCACAGCTTGTCTGAAACAGCACTAATGCCCATTCCCTACCCTAGTAGGAAGTGCCTTCCCCTATCGGCAGCCTCATCCTGGATCCCAGCAGGCTGCCCTGCGGCTCTTGGCTTGTCCAAGTGGGTGAGTGGGTTGGCAGGGCCAGACTGGGCACAGCTGCTGGACCACCTGCACTGGGTCCAGACTATGCTCCCTCTCCTTGGCCTCCCTCTGGTTACAGCTCAAACCTCTATTCCCCCAGGGCTAACGCGTGGGCTCTGAGGGTGGTGTGAGTCTCTAGTCCCCGCTCCTGAGCAAGAAAAAGATGTCATTGGCAAGGATCTATCTGCCTGAACATGTATGTGGGGTTGTACTCACAGGGGAGGGCACATGAATGTCTGGGCCTGTGCATATAACCTGAGTGAACTGGTAGTCCACCCGCCCCCCCCAGCCATGGGGCTTGGTCATCTATTGATGGCAGGCCTGGGGTGTAAATCAGGATATGCTTGGGTGTGTGCAGAAGAGCAAATGTGAGCACATAGGTTCTGCAGATAAGTGTGCAACCTCCAGTTGTTTATGCTTGTGTATCCTACTATGAGCATCTGGGCATGGATGGGTTTGTATGTCCATGTGTGTAATTGTTCTGTAGAGGGATTAACGTCTGGGGAGGAGGTGGGGGGGCAACTGTTTTAACAAACCCTTCCTCAAAAGTTCTAATACCTAACTCTCTGGGCAGTTATTAGACCCTAGAGACACTAACTTTCAAGTATCTGCCAGGTCAACTCCCATGTATTACATATGGAGAAACTGAGTCTCAGAAAGGGCAAAGCATTTGTCCCACAGGGGTTAAGGACTATTAATACATTTTGTTAACAAACACAATAGAATAAAATAAATAGCGATCTAGTCGCAGGGGCCTGATTCTGTGCTTAACCCTCAGAAAAGAGTTTTTATCTGTGGAATGTTAAGTCCTTTTAATTATCAGGCCCAGAGAAACATTTAAGATGAAACCTCAATGATCAGGCCCTACTCCCTACTGTCTCCCCTTTGAGCTGTGTAGTCATCTCTTGAAACTACTTGCTATTGTTACCAGTAGCCATAAATTAATAAGGTCACACCAGACACTATAACTCCTCCCATAGATTATAGACAATTACTAATCAATGTTATTTCTGTAAACCAAGGAGAATTCCTGGCAAACAACTTTGTTATCAGCCCATTTCCTGTCCCCCTTTTTGCCTTTAAAAATGGACTTGTAACCGCTGCTAATCAGTGTATATTCAGGGCAATTTAAATCTATGCTCGCGGGTTGAACGTTCAACACTTGGCCTAAATAACTCTCTACTTGTATTAATTTTGCCTCAGCCTCTTCGGTTTAGGTCGATAACCCTTTACAGAAAGGATTTCATGTGGGCTAAAGGCAGAATTCTGATCTTGGCACAAGAAACAAGCTCAGAAAAGGGATGAACAAAATCAAATTAAAATTAACTGTTATTTATTGAGCACTAATCTTAAGCCTGGTACCACTACCTCCTCGAGCATTTTATGGACTTCACCAACGAACATAGTATGTGTGGGTAAATTTTGTCCTCTGCTACCCTTCCCACCGCGGCTGTTTTATAGTGCCCACCTCATTGAACTGCGGTATAAATGAAATAAATCAAATGACGCACTTAGCATAGCGCCAGGCACGGAGCGTTTGATAAATTATAAATTATCATTATTAATTGTCGCCTGTGTGTCCTTGGAGTGTCCTCGGAGGCACACGTGTGCGCCCACTCCCTCCCACGTGTGGGCCCCCTCCAGCAAGCCCACCCACTGGGTCGTGGGCGGGGTGGCTAGTCCCACCCCCCGCTCACTCCTACATCGCAGGGCCTTGTTCCAGGAGAGGAAGGGGCTGCGGCGGGCCTCGGGGCCACCTCCCCCGCCATTCAGGCGCACTCTGGATTCCACGTTTCCCTCTTTTCCCCTTTGGCCCGGGCCCAGCCCATCTGGAGGCCGGCTCGGCGGCGGCCTGGGAGCGTTTCCATCAGCTGGGCCCGAGGAATGCGGAGCTATTTAACCTGAGCATCCCCAGGTGTACGGAGGCGCCTGGCTGTCTGGGGCCCGCAGTCTTTGGCACGGCCGCGCTAGACAAACAGCGCCGCCCCCGCCCTGCCCCTCCGCCCGCAGCTGCAGCGGGGCCTGGGAACCGGCGGGCGCCGGCGGCTTGCATAAGAGGCTCGGGGCCGGGCGGAGGGAGGGGGACAGAGGCTGTGTGTGTGTGTAGCGCACACAAAACCCTGCTCCTTTGGAAATCATTAACGCCTTAACCCTTCCTGGACGGGGCGCAGCCAAGAGCCAGGGTGGAAGACACAGAGAAACACCGGGAAGAAGTTTCTTGGGCACTGCCTGTGGGCCTGAGACCTGAAGTACTTTTTATCTTATTTAACAGACACTAACAGCGCTCTTATGTGCTCCGCACTGTAGTACGCTCTTTGAAGTATCAGTTCATTTAAATCCTCAGAATCTTTTTTTTTTTTT